ATTTGAATCCTTATTCTTTCAAAAGTCCTTCCTCACCTTCTTTGTGAAACCTGTTCTTGGGAGGTGTACCCCTTGTTATGAGGAGCTCAATACTTCTACGCACAACCCATTTTCTTGCTGGGCACCTGCAGCCTTTCGTTGTCCCTTGTGCTCAGTTTCAAGTTGAGCTCTGCATACCAGAAGCATCCATACTTCTGTTTTTTTCTCTCTAGAACCACACAGAACAAACCTACTCCCTCTGCCTGGGGCAATTCTTTGACCATCCCTTATTTCTCTGGCGAGGGCTATGTGTTGTTATTCTGCCTGTCTATTGGACTCAGTCTTGATGGGAATTGTTCTTCATGCACATTAACTTGTAAAATTCAATCCTGGTGTGCATCCTCTTGGCTAAGAAATTCAAGTTTAGTCTCCTGAGTTTGGTTTCCCTCAGGCAGGCCCAGGTTTTCCCCAGAAAAACAGAGATCTGGGTCAGCTGAGAATCAGGCACACTGTTGTTCGAGTCCTAGTTTCACCTGTCCTCACTGTGTGGCCTTGGACAAGTTCCTCAGGCTTCTCTGAGCTGCATTTTCTTCATCTGTTAAATAGGATTTGAGAACTTTAGCTTGCAGGTTGTGCAAGTTAAGTGAGACAAGGCAGGTAAAAAGGGCTAGTAGAGTGTAAAAAGTTCAGCAACATGCAGCCATTCTTGTTTTTAGGAGGAAAAGATGCTGGATTCCTTGAAGGAACAAAATAAGAGAATCAGCTTCCCCTGGAGATACAGGGAGGGGCCTGGGTTCTGAGGTGAACTCATCCTAGGCCAGGCAGACAGAAAGATGATCTCGTGGCAAACAGTTGGAGCCCACCACTGCGGGCTTTGAGCCATGTGCCAGCCCCACCCGTTCCAGCAAAGGGGCCTTGGGGTTGACACAGCCAGTGCCAAGCCTGATGGGGCCACTGCCAACTTTCCAGTCAGCCCAGATGTCTGTCTTATATGGAAACTAAAAAATGTGGCCTCAATCAATGTGATTCTTGAGAGCGGTGTGTTCCCAGACACTGGCAGGGCACTGGAGAGGCTCTGATCTGGGACCTTTGATAACTCCCAAGGGGTTAGGAAGACACAGCTCAGGCTAAATCCTGGAAGGTCAATGGGGGAACATGTTGTATCTCTCCCTCAGAGGGAGGGGAAGAGGACAGGGATTCACAGGCAGGCCTAGATTGACGTCCAGAATCATCTTCCCGAGGAAGGAGGCTCTGGAATTCTTCTGGGAGAAAAGGGATTTGTCTGTGCCATGCAGCTGAGACTTCAAGGCAGTCCTTTCCTACGTTAGAAGTAACAGGATTCTACTCTGACCTTCAACAGTCCAGCATAGTGAGCTGGGGCATGGATCAAGTGGTGGAGTACCTGCCTAGAAATCACAAGGCCCTGAGTTCAAACACCAGTACCTGATTCTGCCAGTCCACCTTCTTGGGCATGACAAAGCCTTTCCAAAGAGGCATAGTCTTATCTGATCAGAGGATAAATAAAGGCAAAGCCACCAGGGTTAAGAATGTTCTAGAACCCAGAAGTCCTACCTCTTGTCAGACATCCCCCACACCTACCCCAGCAACTTGATTTTTTGTCCCCTGATGCTTGCACAGTAGCTTACTTGTCATGCCTACTTAAAGAAATACCTCCTGCCAGCCCTGGACTCGGGTGTGGAGCTAGGTGCCTGGCACATAGTCAACATAAACAAGATTCCCTAACATCTTGCCCTTCTCTGTACAGTGCCCAGCTGCACTTTCATGTGTTTTCAATGTTTACGTTGCCCTGGTCTTGGTTATTTCTTGCTCAGTGTGCTGGAATGTTTGACATTCCAGATTCTGTACTATGGTGCCCATCTTGCTGAGCTGTGCTGAACATGGTGGGGGAGGGAATGTGGAGAACGGGGAGACCACAACCTGAGAGATGGGAGGAGGCTAGGGTGTGTGTGGAAGGGTGTGGTTGATGCACAAGAGCACCTGACCCATAGAGCTCTGCTCTCACACCCACCACCATTGGGAACCAGGCCCTGCCTGGACAGAGCTGGTCAACTCTACTGGGAACAGGGTCCTTGGTCATTCAGTGGGCCAAGCTTATAAGGCTGACACACGGCTAGGACCAGGAGTAGAACAGGTGGGCAGGCATGCAGCCTGCAAGTGAGGACTCTCAGCCACAGTCCATGACCCCACTACTTCTGCCACAGCTGTTGCCAGCAGAGACCACTCTTCCCCTCCATCAACTGACTCCAAGACTCCAGAAGCAACACCATGGCAGCCCCCAGACCCCAAGACAGAGGGAGAAACTCTTATAGCTGCTCTGGAATTGCTTCTTGGATGAGCTCTCTCATGCTGCCTCCAAAGACAGCCCTACATGGCCAGGAATCCTGGGCAGGTCAGCACCTAGGTCAGCAGCAGCAGGTCCTGGATGCCCCCATGAGGGCTGATAGGCCCTGTCTGCAGGAGCCAGCTCTTGGGAACCAGAACCTGTCCACTCAAGGAGCTTGGGATCCCTTACTTTACCTAATGCTTTGTATGTGTCTGTCTTCCTTCAGGAGAGTTAGGGTTAGGCAGGGCCCAGTAAGGGACACATCGTGTTCTAGGAAATGTTGCCTACTTTCTTGGTCTCACCTGCAAATGCATTTTCCTTGAGTTGCTAAACTGTTCCCCACCTCTTCACTGTCCTACCCACTATTCATTCTTCTGTTCTCATCCTGGATGTCACCTGCTCTAGGATGCTTTCTGGTCTACCAGCTTGAATAGGGCCACCTTCCCTCAGTGTACAGATGTGCAGATTATACACTGAACAGAAGCACTATATCAAAGGGAAATATTGGTATTCTAGATTGAGTCTTTATGAAGATGGTCTGGACAAACCAAAAGGGAGCCCCTTTCCTAATTTTTGCTAAGGTGCTTCAGGACCTGTGTGTACCTGGTTCCACTGTCTGGGTCCCCACAGCACTCAGCACTTGTCCAGCCACTGCACTAGCCTCTTTATTTATGATATCCACCAGCTATCTGTGACCCCACTACACTGTAAGCACGGGGTGCAGACACTGCCTTTATTTCCTTCTCCACTGTCCACTCAGGGCCCGTACGCCATGGGCATTTCAATGGGTCTTGGTCAATATAAATGTTGGCTAAACAGAATGTAGGATATGGAATTGACTCAACAGGAAGGAGGAAGGAAAACAAGGAAAGAAAGAAAGTGGCAAAAAAGTTTCTGGCCTTCAGTAGAGACATTGAGCAGACAGTTGTGTTTTTTCCACAAGGTCAGTGGGCTTGTCTCTTTCCTTTTCTTGCAGACAACTTCTAATAATAACAATAATGATAATAAAATAGTGGGAGTATAGTCATCCCTCAGTGTCCACAGACATTGATTCCAGGACCCTGTGGATATCAAAATCCATGGATGCTTATCTCTTCTATAAAATGGTGTAGTATTTCCATACGACCTATGGACATCCTCCAGTATACTTCAAATCATCTCGATTAATTATAATACTTTTTTTTTTTTGGTGGGATTAGGGTTTGAATTTAGGGCTTCACACTTGCAAAGCAGTTTCTCTACTGCTTGAGCCATACCACCAATCCTCATTATGACACTTAATACAATGTAAATGCTATGCAAATAGGTGTTACACTGTATTATTTAGGAAATAATGACAAGCACACAGTCTGAGCATATTCAGTACAAATGCAGCCATTGTACTACATAGTACACAAACGAGGTGCGAGGTGAACAATGTTCCCATGAGTGCCAGAGACAGATGGCGAGAGGCTGTAAAAAACCTGTGACTACATATCACCTCAGCACAGTGCCCAGTGGGAGGCAAATTCAAGTTTTACTTTTTGGAACTTTTAGGAATTTTCTTTCAAATATTTTCAACCCCTGGTTGGTAGAATGTGCAAATACAGAAATGCAGATAGGGAGGGCCAGCTGGAATAGCTTCTGGATAGTACCCTCTCATTCACTGTTACCTCTCAGGGCCAGATTTCATAGGTAAAGGGGCCAAGGCAAGAGAGTTTAGTGGGCAATGTGGGGACTGATCCTGCTATGTGTCAAGCCTGGTAGCTGAATAGTGTCCTTTGCTGCTTCACTAAAAACCCAACCACACTGCGAAACTATCTGCACTTATTTTTAGTTTGGAAAATCTAGTCACAGCTCCACCACTGAGTCTGATGCTGGGAACAGCCCTGTCCCTCCCACCTTTGGGCTCTGCTCCAGGCCCCCCACAAAACCAGCTCACCTCGCTAACTGCTGACAGGCAAGAGGAATCCATGCCAGGCCCAGGCCTAGGCCCAGGAATGAGGCCTGGAGGGGAAGACAGGCTGTGTAGACAGAAGCCATTCTCAGGCACAGACATCTGGCCGCCCCTCTCAGATGTCAGACCGAGACCTCTGAGAGCAGCATGAATGGGCCTATTGCTTACTCCTGAATTCTCAGTGCTTGGCACACATGAGGTACCTGGTGAGGATTTGCTGAACAAACGAATGAATGAATGAATGGATGAATGAATGTGTGTTTGGTTTTCCCCATCATCCAAAAGACAACAGAGGACTGGGGTTTCACATCCCAAGGCTGAGAACATTCTGACACTCAACCCTGGTTCAGAGATCAGGAACAGGAAAGGAGGTGAGAAGGAGACCTGAAGCCCCCTTCCCCAGGGTACAGGAGCGAAACATTGAGTCACCAAATCAGGACCTCTGTGACCCTGGGGCCTGGGCAGGGGTGTATATTGGAGGGTCTGGCACTAGATGTAGGCTGTCAGGGAGAACAGGGGGTCAGGCTGCTAGGGAGAGGGGCTCATCTGGCTGAGCTGTCAGAAGCCTCATGTGGCAGCCAAAGGCTCCCTCAAGCAGATCTGGAAGCCTGCCTGGTTTACCAGCCTGTTCTACCTGCCCCGTCTCCAAATTCCTGGAGGAGATTGTAAGGTGTGCCCTGCAGCAAAAGCCAGGGTCCGGGAGGGCTTCCCCCAACCTTCCACCTTGATACCAACACTCACCTGGTCTGGGTGGACATGGGACACATGAGGTCACCCCCCAGAATGCCCCCACAGTGCCACAGCAGTCCTCCTGAGCAGTCAGTTCCAGCAGGGGGTTCGTGCACTGGAAAAGAGGCCATGGACACCTGTGAATTCCCCATTTCCCTCTCTGTGGTGCACAGAGATGTCCTAGGAAACCCCAGGTCACAGACCGCCCCCGCCACAGACACACATTCTGCCAGAGGATGCCCCTTGTCCCAGGTGGAAGAGATGTCCCAGGCTGGGGAGGAGGCAGTCAGCCAATGTGCTGGAAGAAAGCAGAGAAAGGGGTGTCTACTTTACCAGGCCCTAGCATTGCACTGGGGGTACACCCCAGACACAAGATCTATCCTGTGCAGCCTGTGAACCACCACCTCCTATGGCCATTTACAGTCCATAGACAAGAGGTCCCAAAGGATGGGCTTTCCTCCTTCAACATCCAGGATCACTCAGTGAGGGTCTTCCCTGTGAATGGGGACCCAGGCTGAGGCCAGGGACAATCTGGGACTCAGGTCCTTATTCCTTGGCTGTCGACCTCCTCCAGTCCCCTAACCTCAGAAATATCAAACTGCAACCTCAAGAAAAACCACCCTGGGTTTGGCCCAGCCTCTATTCTTAGGTACCTGACCTGATCTCCAAGCACAGGCTGGGGATGCCTACAGGGGAAAGGGAGCAACTTTCATCTTTACATCAATAGGGCTTTGGAGTCTAACCGGAATTTCTATTCCACATCTCTGTGATCCCGGATGAGACTGGAGATTAAACTCACCAGATCCTAACAGTCCTACTACCCAGGTGCTGGAGTGTCCCTAGGCTCAGCTCTAAGATAGCCCAGGATTTTCTGGGACCAACTTTAGACTACCTTTGACCAAGGACACTGGTGACAGCTCCACTGCTGGGGCCTTCGTTGGTGTTCTGAGTGTCTGATCCTAACAGGTACTACATATAGCTCAGGTAAGAGGCCTAGCCTCTCCGTACTCAGGTACTTTTATATCCTGGGTTTTTCCATCTGAAAAATGCGAGACTCTGCAGACACATTTCACAAAAATAAGAAGGGCAGAGTGGGGAGTGGCAATAGCTGTTCTGCAAGCCCCAGGGTTGCGGAAGAAGCTGTGTTCTCACCTGTCCATTCACAGTACTCAGGTAACACCGGCCCAGCAGTCCCCGATGTCTGGGCACCACTGGGGGTGGTGGCTGAGGGGGCTCTCTGGCCCCAGCCAGGATGCTGTTGCTGTCCCAGTGGCCGCGGCTGTGGCTGGCAGGGAGTCGGAGTGGGGCTCTGCTGTCCACACTGTTCTCCTCTGGGGTACCGTCTGCCTCACCCCGCACTCGTGCCACCTGGTGGATCTGCACGGAGGCCTCGGGTGGGTGGTTAATGTGCACTTTCACCAAGGAGGGATTCACGGAGGCTGGGCACAGGGATTGGGATTAGAGCCAGGAAATGCCCCACCCCCACTTTCCCACCCCCTAAAGAATTCCCACAGTCCTGGCCAGGTGGGCCTGGACTATGTGTCTCCCCCAAACTTCCCTCCCTTTCTTTCTTCCCTATTGTGTGTGTATGTTTGCATTTTTTTTTTTTTTTGGTAGTACTGGAGTTTGCAGTCAGGACTTCACACTTGCTAGGCAAGTGCCCACTGCTTGAGCCATGCCCCCAGCTCTCTTGCAAACTCACTTTCTGATTCCTCTTTCCAATCACCCTACACAGCTCTGAGTGCCAGCCACTGATTTGGCCTGGTCAATGTCTTGGTCCATACCAGTCCCTCCCTCTGCTATCCATGGTTAAGGGCTAACTGAAGGTCATCCCTCTATGCAGCCTTCTCAGAACACTCCAGGATCAGGGTCTTCTCCATCCCTTGACTCCAGCAGATTTCTGGTGGGCTTATTTTGTATTGTTTTGGATTTGGTTGGTATCTAATTTGTTACCTACTGATGGATGGCAGGGAAAAAGAAAAGCTGTATGTTGAAATGCTACTTCACATCCATATCCCTCTATTGCTCAAGACTGTGGGTTCCATGAGGGCAGGACACCCAGGAGAAAGAGTGAGGTTTGACAGTGAAGAAGGGACTGGAGATACTCCCCTGTCCCCGTCTAGCACAGCAATGGTGACAGCATCACCCTACTCGGTGCTCCTCCCAGGTCCATGGCCCAGCACTCACCCAGCTGGTTGGAGAGAGGCAGAGTGAAGGTGGACTGCTGCAGGGGGCCTTCCAGCAGGGCCCTGTGGCGGGAACCCCTCCTTGAAGATTCCCTGTCTGGCTGTGGAGCCGGCAGGTGGCAGAACTTCCCAGTGGAGTTGGCGGGACACCAGCACTCATCCCGGCCAATGCAGCGGCCTCCATTCAGGCAGGGGATCTGGCAGAAATCTATGATATCAACCCTCAAGGTGACTGGCGGTGGAAGACCAACAGCATCCACCATGTGGACAACTGGTTACAACAAAGAAGCAGGGGGAGCAGGACACCAAATCTGGATGACTTTGGGACCCCAGAACTCCCTGAAATGTAGGGACTTTCCATGATGCCCCTGAGTGAAGAAGGGCAGATCATAACCAGCCCTGGCCTTTCTAAAAATTTCTTTCTTCTCTCTCTCTCTCTCTCTGTCCCTTACAATAACTTAGGACACAAGGCAATGACACTATTAACTCCTTCACTTTCCTTTTGAGGAAACTTGGACTCAAAGAAGTTAGGTGGCTTGCCTAGTCACACAGCCAGGCTGAGACAGGACTGAGAGAAGACTCAGCTCTCTGGCTGATTTAGAACAACTGATAGAGCCCTAGTTCAAGAGCAGTGGGTTTCCTTCCCATAGAGGATCTGGGCTTCAGTACAAGGTGTCCCTGTGACCACCCCAACCCCTCAGGACCAGCTGGAAATCATCTGGGGGAAAGGGACTTACAGATGCGGAAGCCTGACTTGGGGTCATGCCCATGGCCACCCTGGCTGTACAGGGTGGTGGTGTCTCCCCGCTCACAGCTGTTGGCACAGTGCCCACGGGCACAGGTCTGCTTGCAGATGGTAGGAGTGAAGACGATCTTGATCTTCTTGATTTTCTCTGTGAGATTCATCCCTGTAGAGAGAGGGCTTGGATCCAGGGGGCAGAGCTGAGAGGCATGCCTTGACCTCCAGAGCTTGGTTTGAAAGGCCCATGGGATTAGGTGTGTATCCATGCCCAGGGCATTTGCTGGGTATCTACTGCATGCCAGGTCACCCTTTGCAAAGCCCATGGATGTATCTGCTACCGATCACACTTTGTGTACGTTCTCAGCTCTCTTGATAATTATTACCTTAGACAGAACCATTAGAAATCGCCATTTTTGTGTTGGAAAATTTCATAGTCCACTCAACATTTCCACTTTACAGTTAGATTTGAGCTCAGAGATGTTGTGGGTGCCCCACATCACACAGCCAGCAAGTGCCACAGCTGGGCTTTGAGCCAAAGGGAAGAAAAATGAGATGTAGCTCAACCTGGTCAGAGAGGAGAGTTTCCTAAGAGAAATGGAGGAAGATAAAGCCTGTGGAGTGATCAGTCAGCTTTATAGGCCTGATTACAGGAACAAGGATCAGGCATTTTATTTGGTGGGAAGTGGGGAAAATGCTGAAAAGTTTCCAGCAAGATATCAAGGAGGAAGTGTGGGAAGGACTAGTGAGAGCCAGCCAGGGTGGACTGGGAGGCAGGTGACTGGCTGAGATGTCACTGCAGTTGTTAGAGCTGTGGTTGGACTGAAGACATGGCTCAAATGGTAGAGCACCTGCCTAGCAAGAGCAAGACCTGAGTTCACACCAGGATCACACACACACACTCACACACAACTGAGATTACTTCATTTAGCAAGGGTAGTGGCAATGGAATATAAAGAACAGCCATAAATACAGTATGGGAAGCCCAGGAAGGAGGCCAGAGGCAGAGGGTTGAGAAGGGAAAGGGGAGACAGAAAGTGGAAAAAGCACATGTAGGCCTTGGGTTCAAGAAGTTTGCCTGTGCAGAGAGAAGGTGGCAGTGGCTAGCTCCCAGTTCTGTAAGAGGACCAAGTTGGGGAGGACTGGGTTAGCTGCTCTGAGGAACAGGAGAGTGAGAATGGTGAGCACACAGGGAAGGGCCTTATGCAATGACCATGTGTGCCATGGTGAGAATCCAGAGATGCTGGGCTTTTCCTAGCAGTGGAGGCCCAGAGCTACGGAAGCAGCTGGCTGTTTTGGTCCAAGAGGGTTAAGTCTGCAGGAAGGATAAGGTGAAAGGATCTGGGCCTGGGAGCTGAGGTTCATGACTGGATATAAAGGAAGCAAAAGCAGGAGGGGATGACAGATAAGCAGAAATTGAGTAGCCAAGGTCCCAGGGTCTCATTAGGGGCTAAATCCAGACCAGCTAGTTTGGCACCCCTGGAGCTTGGCACAAAAGCAAATGCTCAAGTACTGCTTGACTTTCATTTCCTTGTGGGAATTGAACACAAGGCCTTGTTCATTTTAGGCACCTCTACCACTGAACGACATCCTTGGCCCTTTCAAAAGCTATTTGTTGATTGGCTGAAAGAAGGCAGGTCAAGGCAACAACTCAGTTGCTCCCAGAGAGTGGAGGGGGGAGTAGAGGTGAGGTGAGGAAGGCTCAGAGATTTAGATGCCCTGATCTTTTAAGCCCTGAGGCAGGGTACCTTACCCCAGGCGGATGAGGGATGGTCCAGATGTGCTGCCTGCTGGGCGCTGTCTCTCTGTTCAAGTCCCAGTCCCATAGGCAGAGCATTGGAAGTCAGCTGGCCATTGGCAGTGGTGGCTGGATAACGCCGGACAGTCCGGGACAGCCCCGTGTGCTGCTGGGGGGCACGGGTGTGGCTGAACCCGCTCAAAGTCCTGAGGAGAGAACCGTGGCACAGGGGAATGTCTGTGGCCTCACACAAGTGGCTGTTCACATCTCTGTCCTTGCACTGGATGAATATTCTGGGGCTGCCATCTTCCCTCTCCATGGCTGACTCCTGGACACAGTGGTGCCCCAGGACAGAAGGACTACTTAACATTAGCTCACACTTTAAATAACTCCACAGTTTTTGCATTTGTCATTTTCAGTGCCCCATGAGATTTTTATCTACAGATGAATCACAACTTAGATATTCTCCTATGGCATATTTAAATGGTTTTTAACTTTTAACTATGATATTCTTACACATATGATTTTTTTTCTTCTATTAAAATATTCCCTTGGGGGGAATTCATTGTACTATTTTATTATTATTTAAAAAATTATTATTTATTATTATTTATTTATTATTTATTATTTATTTTATTATTATTTAAAAATTTTAATATTAACCATTTTTATTTGTAGGAAGATTCATTGTACTATTATATTTTATTCTATATATTTGAAAATTTTTTTATTACAAACATTTTGAAGAGGGTTTTTACTTTAGGATTAATTCAATTCCTTGGGCTACAAGGATTGTATCAAGATTACAAACACTTATGGCTCTAATACATACTTTTAAATTGTTTTCTGAAAGGGTGGCATTAAAATGCATAAATGTCAACATTATAGGGTACCCTACTAATAAGTACAACTTTTAAGGGGGTCGATAATCAGTTCAAATAATGCAATGCTAGGCTGAGGCAGGAGGATTGACCCTGTCTCAAAGAAACAAACAAAAATACTGAGTAAAAAAATAAATAATAAACCAATAGGATTAAAACTAAAAAGGGTATAACTGTACCACATAGTGCAAACCTCACCAGTGTATCATATTACTAACTTTTATACTTTTTAAATTGAGTAAGCATAGAATGGTCCTTCAGTGTTCCTTT